TTTGGAATCATGCTCCAATACGCCACACAACATATTCTTTTGATTTTGTTCATTTTCGGGAACAAAAACAATACAAAGTTAATTATTGAATAAATAACTTAGCATTAATTAATCAAATTAATTATTAGTAACAAATATATAATTAAATTTTACGTAATATGTACATAGGATTATAACCAATCGAAAAAACCAAGGACTATGGGGGGTGTCCAGACCCCTAGGACACCTTGTGTTCGTCACTGTTCTAGGCTAACTCCGACTTTACAAAGTGCTTTCCGAATTAGAAATCCATTACACAACTTTTCTTTTATGCAATGCTTCATATGTCGTTGCAACTCACTTCCAGAAACAAAAATAAAGCATGGCTTCAACGGATTTGTAAAGTACCCGAATGGCCAAGAAAAAAATTTGTTGCGATGTGAAATGTCATTTCTGGTCATGACTGTCTCCACAAACACCTTCTTCGCATCAATGTCGCATCAGACTCTTTCTGTTCTCTGTGCAATCTAAGAGAGGATATGGACCTCTTGCACCTTCGCAATTCCCCTGTTCTTCCTCACATTTCGGCTTAGGAGCGATATTGGGTGGTGAGAATTGCCGAATTGCCCTGAGTTTATAGATTTACTGGTATCATTTTTTGCTTGTGATATTTTTGTTATGATGCTCAGTTGTCTTGTTACTTGCCATTTGAAATAATAAAAACAATAAATAGAAAACTTTTAGCAGAATGCCTAATGAATTGGAATCATCTGCCGAACGGTTTCTAAGCGAGTCTTTAATGTTGTTAATCTCTGAAAATATTGACTCACAGGCATTGGTAGATGAAAATATGGTTATATAAAATAGCATGAGTAAACTTCTTCAAACAATTAAATGTGTCTGGAATCGAAATCCATTTTCTAAAACTTCATTACTGACATTTTTACTCTTATAATGCTTGTTAATCTGTTTCAATCAATTCCAAATTTTTCCTTTTTTGAAAAACTGTTTTAATCCATATTAAACTAGATTGGTAATCAATCAGTTGCATTTCAAATTCTTCAATTTCCAACCAATCGAATTGGGACAAGTTCAGTTTCTCAAATCAAGTCACATCAGGGTACATAATGAACTTGAACGTTTCCCATAATTCTTTAAATTGTTAAAATCTCACTGAAATTCTTTGATTGAAGAATCAGTTACAAAAATAAATTCTTTAATAACTTTCTCTTCGTATGGTTTCTCATGTACATCTAAATCTTCGATATTTTTTTCAAATTTGGGAAGTACTTCTAGTTTCTTGTAATAATATCGTTTCCGAAAACATGCAGTTTAGCGCCAAAAGCGCAAATAAAATCCATCATGACAATAATTGTTTTATTTGTATCTTGTTCAATTCATTGAAATGTTGGCATATGTCTGTAAAAAATATCAATTTTGAAAGCCACATAACTTCCTACAACTATGGATATTGTTCAATTTCCCCCTCTCATTTTGTAGAAACAGTTTAATTTCCTCCAAGTAGTCAATAAATCTTTGAAGTACGTTCCCGTGGTTCAGTCAGCGAACATTATTATACATTAATTAAGCCATTATCCACCGAGTTGACTTCATCCAACAAGGCATCACACAAACTTTCGCTTATTTAAAGCCTGCAACAATACGAGGTTGACTGTTTTTGTAACTAACGCTATTACATTATCAAAAGATGCGAAACTACTCTTAGCACACAAGGTTTGTAAGTTAATAATGCAATGACATTCAAGAATCAAATTTCCTACGTCTGTTTGAAATAAACTAATAAAACTTTTTTTTTTTGCCCACCATATTTAGAGCACCATTAGTTGTTACTGAAACGATTTTTTTTTCAAATCAATTTCTTTCTCAGAAAACGCATTTTTAGCAACCGTACAAACTATCTGTGCCTTTTGTAGTTGTTAGCAACGATGTTATATATCGTAATTAATTCTTCCTTAATGACGTTTTCTGCACAATATCCAGCAAAAACAGCTAAATCTGCACGTTTAGCTGATAAAGATATAAAAAAAGCGGCGCTAATGTCATTTTTTTTTATTTGTTATATTTTCCGACCAGTTTTAAGATTCTTTCTTTTATTGTATTTCTAGATAGAGGAATATCTTTGATACGCAGAATCGTCTTATCATTAATAATAAAATTATCAAAAAGGGAGGATGCGCAGGCTCTAACTAGGCTTCCTTCAAAAATTCTTCCTCTTGAAAAGGTTTATTATGCCGAGCAATGGCATTTGCAGCCAAGTAACTTGTCCCTCTCGTTATACAATTTTTGGTAACATATTTAATTATAGACGTCGACTGTTTATTTCTGTCTTTTATTGCGCTTGCAATAAATTTTTTTTGCTCTGGTTCGCTTTTGTGACAAAAAGATTTGGGATTTGTTTCAAAATGCCGTTTTACAGACAATGTTCTACTACCACTCTCTCAGATCTCCTACTTTGTTGCCATTACTAATCATGCCATATTTCTCGGTCCCCGTCCCCAGTTTGAAATTCTGTTTTACATTTACTATTTGCACTTTTTTTTTTTTTGCTGAACTAGCCATGCTAAATAGCAGTTAAAAATCGTAAATATAGCACAGATAAACTTCAAAAGATAGTTGTTTTCAACGAAATTGACTATGCTACTCGTAGACAAACTTTGCATCATTAGCAATTGTAGTCCACGACGTAACTAAGAAAAATGAGTTACATAGTTACAAAGTAACGAGCTTAATAAGGTGTTCCCCTCACTTCTAGCCTGGATGCAAGATGCCACACGACGTGGCATAGAGTGATGAAGCACCCTTATAGTCCCCTGCGGTATTTCTTGCCAAATTTGCTCCAATTGTCGGGTCAGGTCATCAACATTCCATTGCAGATGCAGTCACCTTCACATTATATCCCAGACATCCAGACATGCTCAATTGGAGAGAGATCTGGCTAGCTGACTGCCAAGTAAGTGTTTGACAAGCTGTAAGACAGTTCATAGCAAGACGTGCCGTATATGATGTGGCATTATCTTGCTGAAAAATAAGGCCAAGAGGTACTTCAAAAGGAACGGTAGCAAAACAGTTCTCAGAATGTCATTGACGAGCCACTGGGCTGTAAGTGTGCCTCTAATGACGACCAAAGGGGCCCGGCTGTCAAAAGAAATGGCACCCCAGACCATTCCTGCTTAAAGACCTGTTTGGCGTGCAATAGTAAATGCAGTATCGGCACGTTGCTTTGGGCCTCCAGACACGTCTTCGATGGTCGGCAAGTCACAGTTGGAAACGGGATTCATCACCAAGCATTATATGCCCCAAGTCAGCATGATTCCAACCTGATCGAGCCAAGCACCACTGTAATCTGGCTCGACAGTATGTAGGCGTGATTGGCACTTAAAGTAGTGGTCGTTACGAGAGTAAATTTCGCTCTATCAGCCGTCTGTGAAGGTCATGATGGACACTTGTGTGCGGATCGCACGTCTGATGGTTGATTACGATGAATAAGGAGCTGTGAAAGTTGATCTGACAATCAATCTGACCTCTCTATCTGCCGTGATCCTAGGTCGACCGCTACCATCAAGAGGCTGAAATCTGCCACTGTCCACCCGTTCTTGCCAGCATCTTCTAATGACCGCATCGCTAAACACTATACATCCCCAGTCAGCATGATTCCAACCCGATCGAGCCAAGCACCAGTGTAATCTGCCTTGACAGTATACAGGCGTGATTGGAAGGCGGCGTAGCAGTCAGTAGGAGAGTAATTTTCAGTCGTCTGTGAGCGGTCATAGTGGACACTCGTGTGCGGGTCGCACGTCTGATGGTTGATAACGATGAATCAGGAGTTGTGACAGCTGATCTGATTATCAATCTGTCTTTCCAATCTGCTGTGACGCTAAGTCGACCCACTACCATCATGACGCTGAAATATGACGAGCGATTCTCCGATTTGCCCAACCTGCCTCTTTCAATTCAACGATACGACCTCTCTCAAACTCCGACAGTTGTTCGTAATGAGCTCGAATCCTACGGCGAGGCATTTTTTCAGTCGTTGAAAGGTATCATAAATCTCAATACAACAGAAATTTTGACCATCAGATTGAGATCTCTTCTTATAGACACCTGCTGAGTGCGCATTTCTGATGCGCTGTAGCTCCCGCTATTCATTCATTGGACATCAAATTTTAATCATTTGCATGTTCGGTACAAATATCTTTGCATACCAAATTTCATTACAATCGGGCAACTCTTTCTTAGTGCGTCGTTCTTTTTTTTTTTTTTTTTGTTATACAGTGTATATATATAATTGTTAAAATTTTCAATCGCGTTAATAAAATACTTTTTATTCATCCACTAAGGTTCAAATACATTATTTTAATCTTGTAATGGATGACATTTGATGTTAATACAATTTTTTTGGAAATATTAATTCATTAAATAAATTTAATTAATGAATAAATGTGGTAACAAACAAAAATAATAGTCCAGCAGCACATATAGAAAGGAAAATCGTTCTTTGTCCTATGTGCGCAATGGATGCCGTTGGACTTAATCAAAAGTCGTGGGTTCGAATCCTACCTGGGATGGCCTAATTTCTGAAAATGTCATTAATGAAAGAATAAATTGTAACAAACAAAAATAGTAGTCCAACACCATATATAGAGAGGAAAATGAAAAATGGCTTTTTTTTTGCCATTAATGCGATTCTGTGCCTAGTATACATTGTAATTCTATTTTATAAAAAGTAACTAAAAATTTTTTTTTCTTTGTTGTGACCTAAGTAGAAATTGACTTAATTTTTGAAGTTATACTTCTTTTGTGTGGGGCGTTATAGAAATAGGATGAGGGTAAATTTTTATGATGCTTGCGCACATCGTCACGGATGTGACGCAAACCCGTCACGGATATGACGCACACCGTCACGGGTGCGAAAACGCTTTGTCTAGAAATATACGGAACGGGACAGATCATTCCCGCCATCGAAATTCTCAGAAAAATATTTCTCTTCACTTCCCTGAAGAAGAGGACATCCGGGTTTGAACCGGAGACTTCTCGATCTGCAGTCGAATGCCCTACCACTGGGCTATAAACCCGTGTCAGCGAACCTTGCTTTGCGTTCCGTAGGGACGGATATGAAAATGCTTTGTCTAGAAATATAGAACGGGACAGATCATTGCCGCCTTCGAAATCCTCAAAAAATTTTCGCTTCACTTTTGAAGAAGAGGACACCCTAGTTGGAGCCGAGAACCTCTCGATCTGCAGTCGAATGCTCTACCACAGAGCTATACCCCCGCGTCAGCGAACCTTAGCTTTGCGCTGATTTGTGATATCACTACTAGTAGGGAAAGGTCGTCCTTCGCCTACGGAGCTTCTCTGATGCATTTGTTTGAACACTTTGTTATTAAATCAAACATACTTACAGGAAATTTAAAAAAATGTAATAAATTAATCTTTAAATTGTGGGCTTCATGTACATAAAACATAAGAGTAAATATTAGTTTGCCTATTTAAAAAACAATTGCAAGTATATGATTATAGATGTATTTACTACGAATGCATTGCGATGAACATAAAAATATTTATTACATTGTAGCAAATTATATGAGCCTTTTGTATTCGTATATATATTTTTTTTGAAGTTATACTTCTTTATGGGGGTTAGGGAAAAAGGATGAGGATAAATTTTTACGATGCGCGAGAAGACAGTCATGGATGCGCGCGCATACCTTCACGACACCGATACACGCGTGCACACCATAGTCTAATACAGTGATTCCCAAAGTGGTCTATATAGACCCCTAGGGGTCTATGATGACCTGCAAGGGGTCCACGTTAGCGAAAAAATAATTTGGGGTCCGTGAGGTGTAAATGGGGGTCTACGATGGTGACTCTCATTAAATCAAACCATGATTTTAATTTTAAAAGAAAATTTAGTCAGTTGGAAACCAGATTTTATCTATTTAACAGATTTATTTAATAATTTTGACGAGGTTAATTTGCAGTTACAAGGCGACAGCATAAACTTTATTAAAACAATGGCCATGTCCGCAATTTGGGCTTAAAAAACACACATACCTGTTATTTATCACGAAATATGGAACATCGTGAGAAAAAAAAAAATTTAATTACTTTTCCTAGTGAGAAGGAGTGTCAGCGCGTGCGCGTGGTTGCCAATCTCCGAAACAAAAAATGAAATGGGGAAATAAGGTATGGACATTACTAACCGAGGAGATTTGGGGTTAAACCTGACATGATTGATTCCAAATGTTGAAAAATTGTTAATGACGCACCCCCTTTAAAAGCATTTGTTTGTTGCTCAGTTATTTTATGTATTAATTAAATTTTAAATTAACATGCTTTTCTTAAGTTTTAAACACCATACTTTACATCGGTTAGAAATTTAAATCGTTTAAGGTATCCGACTACGTTCGAAACCGTGATTTTAAAAAAGCGTATAAATGGATAATTTTCATGATATTTAGTGTCACTTAGGTTAAAATACATGTATAAAATTGTTTTAAGGACATTTTGAACACAAAATAATTTATTTAAATACAATATTTTGGCAAAAAATTAACTTGGAATAACTTATTTTCAAAAGTACGCCTTTTATAAAAAAAATGCTTCTAAAATAATACTATTTTGTGCTTATATAAAGTAAAAACTTCTCCACAGAGTCTGAACTTTTTTTTTAAAAATTACATTATTTCAGAGTTACAACCATTGAAATAATTATCGGGATTTTTCTTAAAATTTCTCCCCTCTGTTGTCGTAAAACATGAATAAAACCTAGCAACTTATATATTTCAAAAATTCTAGTTGAGCCTCTGTACAGAAATCTGAGCTATGTACAGGCAAAATATTATTATAATAGAAGCATGTTTCACAAAAGGAGAACATTTTGAAAATGGGTCATTCTATGTTCATTTTTTGTCAAAATATTGTACTTAAATAATTTTTTATTGTAATATTATTCTTAAAACAATTTCATATACATTTTTTAATCTAAGTGATACTAAATATCATAAATGTTAACCATTTATACGCTTTTGCAAAATCACGGTTCCGAACGTAGTAGGATATTTTAAAGTAAGTAGCTCTATACCAGCTGTCAAAAAAAACATTTAAAATGTTAAATTTTCAAAAATTCAATATTAGATAAGCAGGAGTCTACTCCAAACCGAAAATACATGGCAAGGGGTCTATGAGACAAAAAAGTTTGGGAACTTCTGGTCTAATATTTTAACATGCCCACCTTTGGTGCTACGGACTGATATTTGGGGATCAATAACTATTGTTATAAACCATAATCTGCCGGGGACGCATCCCTCCCCTCTACAGATTTTTGGCCAATATCTCGGCACCCAAGCCTCACAGTCCATTCGGACCTGGCTCATTCGATCCTCTTCCAGTTATTATAATTTCATGCTCTTAGGGCGATTTCTTCTATAGTTTTTAACTGTCTTAAACTTTTTAAATTTGTTTAAATTCACAATATCTTGGCTCTTGTTCGAGACTCGGACTTGAGATTTGAACCAAGTATTCTACTCGTCGAGACCTAGCCAGTCATCTTCTTCATTCCCATTGTGTAGGCATGGGGAGGGCTTAATAATATCATGCTCCCATGTTAATCCTATTGGGGATCTGGAAAAATTTCCCCAAGGAATTGAGCTTGGAACTTGGATTTTTGGAGGTCCACCATATTTTCGTATATGAGCTTTACGTGGAATTGGCCCCTCCCTACAGGCTTCCCAGAAATAACTTGAATCCTATGCCACCTTGGTCGACAGCACCGGTTGATTCCTGGATTGTTCTTCCAGATGAGATGATGAGCTTCCTAGATATATTTTTTCAGGACCATAGCCCCATTTCTTTACCCATATTTAACATTCTAAAATTATTTTAGTTATAATTTTTTTAAAAATCCGCATAGCTCCAAAGATTTTTGAGATTCGTTACTGTACCCGAACATAGTTTCTCCTCGTTGAGCTGTTTCACCTGTTATACCTCGTGTGTAGATAGTGGGCTTAGGGGAATTATCACTAAAATTAGAGAGAATCCCCATGCTATTCCTATGGGGTTCGATCTTTTGATGACGTAACGATATTTCAGAGATAGAAGGAGGAAATTTTGGGATCATGTACTACTCTGTGTATCGTTGGGATGTACGTGACCATTTACGTCACAGTTATTCCCTTCCGGGACGAGTTAGTTTCGTTATCCTTTCCCGAGCTAGCGCCGCCCCATTTGCAACTACAGACTCTGGACCGGTTCTATTGGATTTCTCTTGTGTTTGCTCACAAACAGTTCTAGGTTCGAGTTGCTGGGTGCCCTGCTTCTATTTTATTTAATTGTTTTAAATGTTTTAATTATTTTTAAATGACCATAACTCGCGGGCTCTTCAGGCGGATGTCTTAATTTTCTCAGGAACGATTCTTCCCGCTGAGGCATTCAATATGAGGTCTCAGGTGTCACATTCGGTTCACTTCATCTCCAGATACAGTCTGCCGAAAATCCCCGTGTTATTGGTCCTATTGTCCCTGTGCGGGGGTGTTTAAATTTATTTAAATCGTGATTAACTTAGGTTTGGCTATCCGGTAGACTGAAGGTTAGTATAGTTCAGCTCTGCTCGTGACTGCCTTTCGTCCTTGGCCCAGCTTGCCCTGCTAAAGATTTTTAGAAAGATTTTAAACTTGTTACGCCAAAGAAGTATAACTTCTTACGTGCGTACATAAGTACACACACACTTTTTTTTTTATTATTATTACTTGTTTCGTATATACATATATAAATTGAGATATTATTCTTGAGACTATAGTTTGCCAGAAAAATATGCTTTAAAATTATTTCCAATGAGTGGGGAAAAAATATATTTTATATAACTTTAGACTTTAGTGTATCTAAAAGAAGAGTTTGCCTGCCATACAATAAAAAAAGGAAATAATTATACATTATTTCTGAATTATTTTATTTATTTTCTATTACTAATTATTAAATACTTACTTGGCTAACACTAAACTTTGTATTTTGCTGTACAGTTTTGTGCATCTTTTGAGAGTGTGCATGTTTAGATAAGTTTTCATGGGTCATAAATCACTAATGGGGATATAAAATTGCTTATTTAATATTTTTAAGAATCTGTAGTTTTTAATTTAGTCCAATATAATAAAGAAACTCAGACAACGAATGAAAAAAAATTGCATTTAATAAAAAAAAATTCTTATAAAATTATACAGTATTGAATAGGTTGTATAGTAATTGTAAAGGTATGCATTTCTTGTCTACAGTTGAAAGCTCCTTTTTGTGCATGATATTCTAAGCCATCAAAAGATCACACGTCATCCAACTCAGGCTACATATTCACTATTTATACCATTATGCTATACATATATACTATACTACATATTCATTATTTGTAGTATTATTAATTACTATTTGACATTTCGATCTATCAACTATGCCCACTATCGTGCCATCTCTTATGGCGTCGACAGATAATACTGGATGTGGACTCTCCGATTCATAATCGTACAAAACAATATTCTCCATGCTAATATTGTACTTTGCAGATATAAGGCCCATAAATTCCACTTTTTCACAGATCATTATTTCCATGTCCTCTTGGTAAGACACAGCAACATACAGCATACTAGATTCAGCCATTATCTACCTAAAAAAAAGAAATTATATTAATTTATAGAAACAATAATTCAAGGAAAAATACTTTAAAATATTTTATAACTTGAACTTATACACATTTATTCTTTTTACCGTAACATCCGGCGCATAGCGTGCACTGGAGTATAACGCGCGCTTTTACACTGCTGTTTGTAAAAAATGTAACACCGTGAAGGAATCGTCAGAATTAAATGAACTTTGCAGCAAATATCAATTATATAGGATGTTACGTAAAATAGTAAAGTTTCAGAGCTACCGCGCATGCGTGGCGCCAAGCACCCTCTGAACTGATGCTGAAAGCGTATAAATAGAGGGCTGTAGCGGGACGTTGAAAATAGTTAATGGTTATTTTTTAGTGGCGAACGTTTAGGGAGACCTAAGTATACCTTTACGACGAAATAAGAAGAAATTCCAACAACTTAAGAAGTTTCAACGGGGGAGCATAATCGGCCATCGAGAAGGAGGATTTTCCTATCGCGCAATAGGAGCCCATGTACAGTGGAACAGTTCCGCAGTGATGCGAGCTTAGAAGCAGTGAGCCGACAAGCATCGAACAACTCGAAAAACTGGCAGTGGACGATAGAAGGTGAGATCAGCGCGCGACGATCGATACC